ATGGAGGAAAGGGTTGGCTAGAAGTATGTATGCAGATTGGGTACTAGCAGAAATACTGCCCTCTCACGGGGTAAGCTGCCTAAACTCCCTAGAGCAACCACAGTAGGATCTTCTAAGTAGAGTATAACCACTGGAATGGTTAGATTTCTGTCAACCTGACACAAAATAGTCACCTTGGAAGAGGGAATAGCCACTTACGAATTGTATCCATCAGATTGGACTGTGGAGTATATTCTTAATTAATGATTGATATGGGCAAGCCCAGCCCACTTTGGTGGTGCTGTTTCTAGCCAGGTGATCTTGAGAGGTATAAGAAAGCAAGCTGAGCAAGCCAATAAGCAACATTTTTTCACTGTCATTGATTCAGTTCAGTTCCTTCCTTGAGTTTTTGTCCTGATTTCCCTTAATGACGGACTGTGAACTGTAAGATGAAATAAATACTTTCCTACCCAAGTTGCTTATGGTCATGGTGTTTATAATAGCAGCAGAAAGACAGCAGAACAGTCACATTGATTGAAATTGGTGCCTTTAGTCCCTGCTCCCCATGTATTGACTCTCCATTTCAGCAATATGTGCAAGATACAAATAGAGAGTTACATAGACTCTGTCTTGTTGTCTGCCTATGTATGTAAAGCTTGGGTCTGGTCTGATTGGAGACATAGAGGAAAATTCTAGGAGCATAGCTGATGTGTCTCCATTAGGAAAATGATGGGCCAGGTCAGGACCAGTTTAGAGCTCATAAATTTTGCTTCCTTCAAATGACAATCCATGAAGGCACAGGATCATTTTTCTTTGCCAGTCATTGATAGTAAGCAGTAGAATGTGCTAGTGTAGAAAGAAAAAGTTCTTCCTCCTGGCTGGCTGTTCATTATGCAAGAAATGTCAAGGAAGGAGTAGCCAAGTTTGTGACCGGCCACCAGGGGTCGCTAGAAGAATTGAGAGGACAGCTGATAAAAATGGGCCTCTTTCTTTCGAGCTTTCTTCTCCCTTTCCATTTTCTTTCCCTTTTCTCTTTCCCTCCCTCCCTCATCTTGACAGGGTCTCTCTGTGTAGCCCAGGCCAACATAAACTCTTCATCTCTTGTCTCACTTCCCTAGCAGCGGGCTTGCAGGTATGTCTCAACACCCAGCGACCATGGTTCTTTCTTGTTTACCAGCGAAGGGCTCATCCTCTTGGGCCCCATCTTTCCCGTGTCAGTCATCTGCTTTTGCTATCTATGTATCCCACAGATCCAGCAGTCCTCTGTTCCTTCCCATTCCCTTACCCCTCCCTTCTTGCAGCCGCTCTTGTGATAGTTAATACTCAGACCCATGATTCATTCATAGGTGCTTCCTTTTTCATCAAACAGATAACCCTTGGCCAGTGGGATTGCTCATCTGTGAGGTCCAACACATTTGAATAATCCCCTCAAAAGCTGCTTGGAGTCCTCAATCTCTTGCTCCTCTGTCCATCTGTCACATATGTAGTGACACTTAGCTGTCTTCCCACCCATCAGAAAAACCAATCAGAACTGACATTTTAGAAAGACACACCAGACACCGCCTGAAGTGCATATGCTTAACAACCTGTGCTTCCAGGCAGAGGGCACGCAGACACAGAGACATGAAGGCATTTGTCCTAGGACACACAGCTGTAAAATAGCATAGTTGGAACTCCAGTCCTGGCAGTGTGACTCTGGTATCCACACTCTTTACCAGTGTGCATTTTTTTTCTTCTTTCTTTCTTTCTTCCTTTCTTTCTTTCTTTCTTTCTTTCTTTCTTTCTTTCTTTCTTTCTTTCTTTCCTTCCTTCCTTCCTTCCTTCCTTCCTTCTTTCTTTCTTCCTTCCTTCCTTCCTTCCTTCCTTCCTTCCTTCCTTTTTTAATGGCCACAAGTAGGAGCTAACCCATAGCTTCAAAGAGCAGCCTGGGAAAAGACAGTGTGTGCTATTAGATGAACTGTGCGGGATGCAGGGAGCACAATAGTGCTCACTGCTGTGGAGAGATGTCCATAACCTGTGGTCCAGTGACCAGGGAAACAAGATCTTGTCTCTTAACTATGTCGACAGCATAGGGAATGTCCATCCATAAGACCATGAGCGTGGCATGTTTATTGAGAAGAGTCCACAGATGTCTCCATGATCAACTTTAGGGAGTAAGACTGGGAAGGGCAAAGGGGTTTTTGAAACTGATCTCTAACAATCCCTAGGTAAGAATATATACTCTAGTGCTGAGAGATGGTCCAGCATCTGAACCATCTCCACCAAACCTAAGGATGTGAGTTTGCCCCCGAGACCCACATTGCAGGAGAGAACCAGTTACCGAGATTTGTTCACTGACCTCCACGAGTGTGCCGTGCAAATAAATTGATAATTAATAAATGTACTAGGATTTCAAAAGAAGTACTCTACTTGAAATATAAAATGTGTTGAGGAAAATGACTTCCAAGCCTTCAGGGGAAGAACTAAATGTCTTGAATCATAACTTTAATGAGATTAATGTTTTTAAAGTTCTGAATTCCATCCCACCTGTAGCGAAGTAGCAGACATTTCTTCTTTCATTGGCCCCCAAGTTTGCAGTGTGGTTTCCTTCAGGATGCCATCGTCAACTTCTCCTCTTTTCTAGAAGGGCCTCACCTCACAAGTGATAGATATGTCCCAGGGGATTCTCTGTGAGAACTTCGGGCCACTAGTGTGGCCACAGTGGTTGTTGTCTGTCACGGTTATGACGCTTTCTTCATCACAGAAGCGTGCTGAGCTGTAAACAACTCTTGGGTACATAGCATTAAACAGCACCTTCACATCCCAGCATGTGATTGAGGCATGGAGTAAATGTACAGGCTGGTTGGCTCATTGTAGAAAGACATGCAGGAGGGTTTCTTTAAAAACAGACTGCTTGGAGGGCTGCTGAGCATGGAGGAGGCAGGTCAGCTGAGGCTGGAGGCCTGCTAGTTCTTGGTATTCTAGCATCCCAGGAATGCAGGTGCCGTGCTTTATGGCCCCAGGAGAACCCTGTTTGGCACATTGTTGTTTGACTTGTCCTGTAGTGTGGCCTCTCAGGACCAGGCTATTTTTCTGAGAGTCTAGAGATAACCTTAACCCTGCCAGGTCACAGGAAGGTGGAGGAGGAGAAGCGAGGGTGGAGACTGGTTACCTAGGAGACTAAGAAAGCAGGATCCCTGTCACCTTATAGGTCCCCAGTCCTGCTTGTATGTAAGAAACTTCTGGAAAAAGCTGAGGGTGCCACCCTGCTCCACACCAGGGCATTGCAATCGCTGTCGCTTGAGCCAAGGCAGAAGTCATTTTTTAAAGAGATTTCCACATTATTTTAATATACAAGCAAGCTTGAGGACCCCTGGTATACATGAACCTAGTGAGGGCCTGAGGGTTGAGTATCCTGAAGTCAGTGTACCCCAGCACCTCAAACTCCCAGGAGGCTGGGAAGCATGGAGATGGCTTCCTTCCCGTTTCCCTGGTTTTCCTACCCCTTGTTGTGTGGGGTTTACTCCCACTACTGGGTGAGTGAAAGTATAGAGGAGTGGGGGGTCCTGGTGAGTGGTAGCGGCTCTGAGAGGAGGGAACTCACGTGTCTAAGCTAAGCACACACTGGCTCCAGAAGATTGGGGCAGGGTGGAGCAGAGTTTTTCAGCAGAGCATTTAGGGACACTTGTACTGCTGCCGTGGGGCAGGTGAGGAAGTCGAGGCTGGAAGAAGCAGAGCACCAGGTCACCACAGCTACTCTTTGTCAAGCAGAGTGGGAGCCTCCTGGTTCCAGGCCTCCCTCACAGCAGCTCTGACACAGGGCTTTCATTTTTGGTTTTCTGCTGTGACTTGACAGAGAAACACCTGCCTCCCCCCGCTGACTCCCCCACAACCTGATTTTTTTTTTTTTTTTTTTTTTGTGGCATGTCAACATTTGAGGCAGGAAGATAAAGGAGTAAAAAGTAGACCTGGGATGATAGGGGCCAAAGGACTAAAGAAAAGCCTCCAAGCAGAGCACTCTCCTGTTCTTCTTTTTGTAGATGCTTTGAGGGCAGCTCGCCTCTAAACCCTCAGCATTCATCCTTTGCAGCAGTAGTTAGCATTTGCAAACACGTGTCACAGCCACTCCGCTGGTTTTATGGGACGCGAGTCATCCTCCCGCCAACTACACATTGTAGATCATGGTGCTGGCGCTCATTTTACAGGTGTGGAAAGTGAAGCCCACATTGCTTAGGCATCTCACCTAAAGTCACCTAGCTGGGGACAAGCAGAGCCTGGGCTTGTGTGGAGAGCTGAGTACAGGTATTTGTCACTCACCCATGGCTGACTGTGGCTGTAGGCCTGCCGAACAAAAGCCCAGCCTGACTGTGGGCGTCAGCACTTGCCACACTCTCCCCTCAATTACAGCCGTCGTTCACATTTATCGTGTCTGAGTGCTCCAGGGGCGTTAGCTATGTCACTCTATGTCCTGACAGTTGAGAACAATGCATCTGGAGGTAGCCCCTCATGAAAAGGCTACTCTGCAGACAACGGCTGTTCCCAAGAGCACTCTCAGAGAAGGGCCAGAACATGTGAGGGAACCTATGTCAGATCTTAGACGACAGGAAGGCCGTGTCCCCATGTATCTTCCTCCAGATGCTTGACTTCGGCTCCCAGTGACACCCTCATAAGTTAGTCTAGCCTCCCAAGACTAACCTCCTCACAGTGTCCTGAGGAGGAGTCCGGCAATGTCTGTACTTGTGTGAAGGACTGAGCCAACGAGGAAGGGGCAGGAGTTGTTTGGTTCCCTTACTGTGTTTGGGGGATAGACCATGCAGATCAATAGATGCTGCCAACTGCAGAGAAAGACACCAGCGTTTGGGGCACGTGTAAATCCCAAAGAGGAAAAGGGGACCAACCTTTCTTTATAGGAGAGTGGGACCTTTGGGGCCAGAGGCGTTCTAGAATGTTGTCAGGGATGTGGAAGACAGAGGCTTCATGCTCTTGGGTCTACTCGGCAACCTTGGTGCGTTTCTGCTCACTGGTTTCTCCGTTCCCTCCAGATACAGCCTGAGAATGCCCCAGTAGTCCTCTGGCTTCAGGGCGGGCCTGGAGGTTCATCCATGTTTGGACTCTTTGTAGAACATGGGCCTTATGTTATCACAAGCAACTTGACTGGTAAGTGATGCTCTGACTACTTTAGCCATGGGCCTTCTCCCAGCCAGTATCTACTCTAAAACAAATTTAGAATAAACACAGAATCACTGGGAGTTGCTTAATAGTTCCAGATTAGAGAAACACAACTTGGTGGCAACTTCTGTCCAGAAGGAGGAGCCCCAGGGTGAGTGTCCTGCCTGGCTTACTTTCTCCTGCAAATGTGGGTGAAAGGGTCTAAGCTGTTTTCTGCAAGCCGGCTGCTGACTCAAGCATTCTTGGCTTACAAAAACAGTTGGTATTTATTACTGTTTGGGTGAGCCCTCTTGCACGGGCCTAATGGTGGAATTATATCCCTCATTATCCCTGGGGATAGAATGCTTTATGAGTCCATCACTTAACTGAGCCGATGCCTTGAGAGCAAGATGCTGTGGGTGAGGCTGAGGTGGAGGAAGGGCTGGAGAAAGAACCTCTGACTGTGTCAGAGCGGACTCCATCTCTGTCTCACTGGGGAGGCCGTTCGCTTTCCCTGGGTCAGCATTCAGAGTGTGAATTTGTTTGTGATTCACTGTAAAAGCTTTTGGGCCAGCATTGGTGGGGTTGATGTTTTCTTCAGCACTGGGGAGGAGGAAAAGGATCCGAGAGCCTGGGTGGAGGGTGGAGGAGCCCTTTACAGGATAGGACAGACAGGCGTTTTCACGTCAGTTCTCGTGACGTTTCGTTGTCACGGCTGCATTCTTAGCTATAGATACTGCTACGGTGGGCAAAAGTACAGAAGAGAAGAAAAGGGGCGATGGGCACTGCCCTTCCAGAGTACACCCTCTACCCTGCACCCAGGCTCTCGGATCCTTTTCCTCCTCCCCAGTGCTGAAGAAAACATCAACCCCATCAAAGCTGGCACAACACAGTGAATCACAAACAAATTCACACTCTGAATGCTGACCCAGGGAAAGTGAACGACCTCCCCAGTGAGACAGAGATGGAGTCCGCCCTGATACAGTCAGAGGTTCTCGACTGTGGCACAAGGGCAGAGGGGATACCCGGGATGGTGAGATGAAGCAGGTGTGCTGGGGTCCGGAGCACCTGCCTGGGATGTTTTATTAAAACTCAACCCTTTCTTCTGTTTTGACAGTTCTTGCCAGAGACTTCACTTGGACCACTACCCTTTCCATGCTTTACATTGACAATCCGGTGAGAACCAGGGGACAGCGGGAAGCATCAGTGCTGGCATCATGCCCCTTTTCCTTTTACTACGCACAGTCATGGCCGCATGGTGACAGTTTGGTCAACAGCAGGCCACATACACAATGATGCTCCTGTAAGGCTATTAAGAAGCTGAGATGCTCCTGTTAATTGTGTTTTCCTCTACCTCTTCAATCATCACACATGTGTAGATCCACAAATACCTGCCCCTGTGCTCGAGTTTCCTGCCGTATCCAGTAGAATAACATGTTACTGTGTGCATGCCTGCAGCAGGTGATGGACTATGCCTTCTAGGTTTGTGTGAGTCCTCACTGTGGCTTACAAGAACAAATGCTTTAGTTGTCCTCGACATTACGAAATATATTGCTGTACATTTTCTAAAATATAGATACACTTTTTTCCTTTTTAGATTAGAATTTAATTTATAGAGTGAGCAGCCAGGCATGGTGGAGCACACCTATAATCCCAGTATTTGGAGGCTGGGGCTGTAGGATAGTGAGTTCAAGACCAGCCTAAGCTACATCACAAGCTCCAGGCTAGCCTAGTCTACATTGTGGGACCCTTCCCATCTCAAACAGCATTGAATGCCACCCCTTGGATAAGGGGTGGGTAGCCTTTCACTGACCGTGTGGGTTTCCTGATTCATGGCTTGTTGCTTGATAATGGATTCCCCGTCTTTCATGTAGACTTCTAGATACAAAGAACCAAACTTGGTGTACTTCCCTTTCCAAGGGAAGCAGAATGCCTCAGTGATACATGGAGTGATACAGAGATCTGGAGTCAGAGGCGTGGTTTTTAGAAGCAGTGAGGTCATCTCCCAGTGTGGGGTCTAGTTGAATGTCCCCAGGGAACTTGCGTCTTCATGCTTATCTTCATTTCCTCCCCACTCAGGTGGGCACAGGGTTCAGCTTCACTGATGATCTCCGGGGATATGCCAACAGTGAGAGCGATATAGCCCAAAATTTGTACAGGTATGTCATGCATCTATGGCCATAAGGAAAGTCTCCCAATGGTAGAATCACTACCAATCGGTCCTCATTTGCCCAACTTCTAAAACTTTGCAGAACATTCTGCATGAGTATGTGGGCACATACACAGTTTCTTCTGCTCTTTCTTATCTTGTCATTGATTATTGTTTGAATGACCAGCAGACAAAGTAAACAGAGCTAAATTATAAACGTAAGTTTTATAGCAGTATCCTACAAGACACAATAGAGACTCAACACACATTTTCAACCAAAGATTCCTTTTCAAGCCGTCCACCTGGATGGCTTAGAAGTTTCCAGTTGTCTCTAAGGTTCTATTTAACTTTGTGCTTGCCAGGAGATAACGTCTTTTCCAGGCATTTGTCTTCTTTCCCATAATTGCTCCTTCTGTGACTCTAGATGTATAGTTCACTCTGGAGCTTTGTCATGACTTTTCCAGACTGAAAATGGTCTTTCTCCTTCTCCTTCATCTTACAAAATTTGTCTTTCACTTTAAAAAAAAATGAAGGAAGGAATGTAAAGTTGTGATCTTGGTTAAAGTATATACACATAAATTTTCTTGCATTCTTTACATCTATTTTTAGTACTTTTTAAAAACTAAGTTGACCTTTCTAATTTGGTCAAATTTTTCCAGGCTATAAATTGTTAGTAGAAAACAAGTCTGGGGCTGGAGAGACCGCTCAGTGGTTAAGAGCTCTGACTGCTCTTCCGGAGGTCCTGAGTTCAATTCCCGGCAACCATATGGTGGCTTACATCTGTAATGAGATCTGGTACCCTCTTCTGGCCTGCAAGGATACATGCAGACAGAATACTGTATACGTAATAAATAAATAAATCTTTAAAAAACAAACAAACAAACAAACAAACAAACAAACCAAGTCTGAATTCTTTCAGAGCTCCTGAGCACCCTTGGATGCCTCATGAGAATCTACTAGAAGACTCCTAATGGCCGGTCTGACCTGCCCACTGGCTCTGCTAACTACCCAGTGAGCAAACCCGGCCCCTAGCACAACTCCAAGGGGAAAGCATATCTGGTCTGGTCAGGACAGAAGCCTCCCTTCTTTTCTGGGGCAGATCAGGCAGGGGGCTGAGGGACCAAGCTTTTGCTGGCTTCCTGGTCTTTATTTTCTGCCAAGGACATCTCTTTCTTTCCCTCTGCTGTCCCAGAAAAGAATTTGGCTGTTCTCTAATTTCTCACATAAAATCCCTCAAGATTTTTAACACTTGTGTTCAGTTTCCAGCAGGGATACCTGGGTCCTGGTACCTTTGTACCTGGGCACAGTGGTTCCCTCGGACATATTAGCTGATCCTCCCAGAGGGACCTCCCCCCTCTACTGTCTTTCTCCCTGCACAGGCATGACTGTGGTGCCTGTCCTCAGAAGCAGACTCAGGTGCCTCCCACCACCACTTACACTATTGTGTTTTCCTTCAGGTCAGACACCTACCCTCAGCCCTTACTACAACCATCTTCTGGCTCCATTGTTTAACTAGCAAACACGCCCCCGAGGGTGGAGGCTCTCTATTAAAAAAACGTGTTCACTCTTTGCAAGCCAGAGCTTTGCAAAGCACCCCACCCCCTAAGCCGGAAACAAGGATGCTTCTTCCAGCTTGCTGTTGACCCTCTGTGTGGATGTTTACTGCTGACATGTGGTCCGTCTCCTCTTGCATGACATGGAAAGAGGACGTATTTCAAAGCAGCCGTTGTTTATAGCTGTTTCAGTTCCCTTTGCTTCAGGCTCTTAGAACTGGAAAATAGCTAATCAGGAGTAGTGCAGAAAACTGATTTCAGCTGTTTCCTTTACAGTTTACACTATTCGTTTCCTTTTGTGACTGCATTCTTCTCTCCAGCTTGCCAGATGGGTGTTTGCAATAAGAAGGTTGCTTTGGAACCAGTAAATGGGCTACCGGGGCTTTAAAGAACCGATCTTTCTTCTCCCTTTGAAAGCCCCACCCCCACCCCAGTCACGTCCCACCCCTGAAGATGGAGTTCTATTTTTCTGTGAACAGTGCCTGGCCTGGAAGGAATGGCCTCCTAAAGAGCCATTTAGCATTCGCGTTTCTGCTGGCTTTCTTTGTGTGCAGAGAGAAACTTTTTCACTCACGTGCAGACACACACTGTAACGCATGCTGCTGAGCCAAGGCGGCTCCCAGCTTAGAAAAATGTGAATGAGATGTAGTCAGCTTCCTCATTGTGACGTGGATTTCTTGTCTGGTGCTGCTGTCCTCTGGTCTCCCTCAATCGCTGGCAGACACAACCCCTGGGCTCCTAGAGCTCATGGCCTGGTAGAGCTCCTGAAGTTACCTTCTTGGAGATGAATGGAGATGGCACAAAGCTGCTCTCCCCTCCTGACAGCCTGGTAGTCAAAAGTGAGGAAGAGGAAGAGGCCAAGGCAAATCACACCCTGTCAAAAAGTGACATACTTCTTTCCCCTCCTCCTCAAGTTTCTGTCCCAATAGCCCATCATGCTGTGAATCCACCTGTGGATTAATCTATTCCTAAAGTCAGAGCCCTTGTGAGCCAGGTACCTCCCCAAAGTCCCATCTCGGTGCCTTGGGGCTAAGCCTTCAACATTGGAGCTCTGGCAAACCTTTCAGATTCAAACCATTAGTGTGCAGCTCCTGCCCTGAGTCTTGAGCCTGCTAAACGTCTCTTGAGTTCCTATTGCTTCTACTCAAGCAGAACTGACTGGATTCTCTTACGGCCACTGGCTCTGTTGCATATTATTCCATCACCTTCTCTGCCCTACTGGCACCAGAGGACCTTTCAAAAAGGCATCTGAGGAGCAGTGTTCTCCCAGCCACTCCTTCTTTCAATAATGTATCATTCTGTGACCAAATAGCCTTTCTCTAAAATTCTGTTTATCAGGGATATCTAATAGAGTCATCCGATGATATAAGATTTCTGTGCCAGGTAGCATTCATACCTAAATAAATCACACACACACACACACACACACACACACACACACACACACACACACATTTATTTATCACACACACCAACATTATGCTAAGCTTTGAAATACATGCAGACATGAATCCTGATTTTATTTTAAGCAGAACCTCGCTGTGTCATCGGAATAGTGCTTAGTTTAAGGACAGTCAAATGGGCAAGGAGTGTGTGTGGTTCTGGGTACTGAACTTATCATTTTCATAATTTACTGTTGTGTAAGAACCACTTACCAAAGACTCTGAAAAAACAGGCAGTCCATGGAAAGACCTGAACTGTGAGATTCAAAGAGTAATAACTTCTTTCAGCAAGCTTTCGCTTTAGAAACCTCAGCTACGCTGGTGCTCTCCAGACAGAAGTAACATGGGAGAGTATCTCCTTTAATTTAGGTTGCCAGATACAGCACAAAATGCTCAGTTAAACTGGAAAGTCAGATAAACAATGAATATTTCTTTATATATAAGTATCTTTCAAAAGTGGAGAGTATTAAAAAAAGACAGCCAACACAGACCTGTGGCTTACACACACACACACACACACACACACACACACACACACACGAGAATATTCTAGACAATATTTGGACATACTTGTACTAAAGCATTATTTATTATTTATCTGAACTTGAATTTTAATTGGACACCTTGAATTTTTTATTTGTTAAACCTATCAGCCCTAACAGCGCCCCATCAAATACCAAGGAAGAAAGATGTAAGTTAGAGCAGGGGACTTGAAATTGACTGTAGTAAATGAGTCCAACCAGCAGGAAGAGGGAAGGGAAGTGGATTTTAGCCTGAAGGTTCCTGAGGGGAGGGTGGAGAATGAACTCCTATTTTTACCCTTGTTCTAAAGCCAGTTCGCTGCCAGCCCTAACGTGGAAACTATCACAATGCAGTCTCCCAAATTTAGTTGCCCAAAGTCACTATAAATAACAAATAGAGAACACACCAAAACACCCCAGCAGTGCTTCACAGTCGATTTTTATAGAGCCTTTGAAAATTAGGTCTAGCAGGGATCACGGTGGTCATAGCTTTTCTCTCTGTAACCTTTGAACTCTCTCCCACTCCTGGCTTTTCAGAGCCTCCTTGCCTTTCATCTTCCCTGGAGGGGTCATAGCTTTTAGTCCTTCAGCTGGAAGCTGGGACCAAAGCCCTGCCTGACTTCTCAGGCCTTGCAGTCCAGGTCAAGACATTCCTAGAGTGCCTGAGTTCCATTTTTCATGGTTTTTTTTTTTTGTTTTGTTTTTTGTTGTTTTTGTTTTTTTTTTTTTTTTGTCTCCTTTTTGGGAAGACTTTGGTCAAGACATTTAAAAGTCAGCCAGTCTTTTCTTCCTTATTGCAAAACACCCCCCATCAGCTTGTTTTTAAGCTATTTCAGCATAGCTCACTCAAGTGGCCATGGGATTCTGGTTGCTTTTCTTCCCTCCACCCCTCCTTCTCTTCTTTTTTCACAGCTTTGGGGTTCTTATTAAAACACTGACGTTCTGGGAGCTCCTTTAGAAAGAGTCCGGGTTCCCCACCATGGTTTGTTGATAAGAAGCTAAACTTTCTATTTTTTTCCCACAAATCTGGCCTAATGGCTAAACAATATGTGGAAGCTGGCATCGTGGACACAAGGACCCCTCGGCAGTTAGATGACCCAGAGTAGCAATCCCAGGTTTAGAACTTGACATTGTTGATGTCCCGTGTCTAGACTTCTTAGGATGGCAATGGCAATATCAGCCTCCCTATTTGTTTTGCCTAGCCACCCATGTAGAATGCAGTATTACCTGCTGGGGGGGCGGGGACTAAAACCATACACCAGAGGAGTGCACAGCCCAGTGCCAGCTCCTTCCAAGCAGGGCATATGCCCCCAGCTGGTGAGGCACGGTAGCCAAGCCCCTGCCTTACTTTTCCACTCAATCTCGATGTCCTTTCTCCCACAGTGCACTGATTCAGTTTTTCAAGTTGTTCCCTGAGTATGCGAAGAATTTGTTTTATGTCACTGGGGAGGTGAGTTGACAACTTATTTTCTTGTGTGCCTCCAATATTACAAAGACCGGACTATATGATGACAGTTACAGCAAATATATTCATGTGTGTATGTGTGTGTGTGTGTGTGTGTGTGTGTGTGTGTGTGTGTGTGTGTGTATTAGTGTTGATCCAGTCCACCATCACAATTTCCCAAGTATCCCCCAAGTATCCTCGGTAACAATGTTTTGATGCAGGGATCAGTGAAGGTTCACATATTGGGATGGGTGAAGCAGCTTACCATGTCCCAGTCTTCTTACCCTTTTTGTTATTGTCACTCATATCAATGATTTTAAGGGAGGGGCCAGGTGCCTCTAGTACATTCCATATTGGGAACATGTTTTATTCTCTCCTCAGTGTTCAGATTCAGTGAAGATTCCACCTGGATAAGCCTGTGTGCTTCCTAGGCATTCCACCAGGAACCACACCATGGCAGTTTGCCCCTGGGGTGATGTTGTGTGATATTTTGTGTTCTGACAAATAAAGCTAACCTGAAAGATCAGAAAAGCAGGGCAGCAGCCACTAGAGGCTTCTTACCTCTACAAATCCTCATACCAAATTGGGGGGGGGGGTAAGATCCTGTCTCCACCCACCTTATATCCCTGTCTCCACCTCTTGATTATGCTGGGATTAAAGGCATGAGCCTCCCAAACGCTGGGATACAAGGCATGAGATTGCCCAGTGCTGGAATCAAAGGCTTGAGCCTCCCAAGTGCTTGGATTAAAGGTGTGTGCTACCACTGCCTGGCATTTATGTTTAATCTAGTGGCTTGTTCTGTTCTCTTATCTTCAGGCAAATTTTATTAGGGTACACAACATATTGCCACATTTGCCTCTGAAGCACCCTGTGCATGCCTTTCCCGGGTCCTGGAATCAGTCATTTTTCTAGGGACTCTGGCTCATTCCAATGGAGAGCGGCACTGAAAAGCCAAGACTGGAGCACTAAGTGTACTGCTCCTTGTTGGGAGGATGGCCGCTCTTTTGGACCTTGGGACTGTGGCTGAGTCCTGTAACTCTGATTCCCAGCACAGGCTTCTCCAATGCTTTCCTCCACGGATGTCTGTGTGCACCTTCTCCCACATGGAGGAGCAAGTTTTCCAGCAGCACTGCGTTCTCCTCCTCTGTGCAATCCCACTTTGTACCCTGCATGACTTTAGAATGACTCTGTCTTCACCATAGCTGACAAAAGGCTTCCACGTTTCTTTCACCAGGATGTAGTCTCCCACTCTCTGCTGCTCTGTCTCTGGAGCTTTTCTCTTGTCTCTCAGTTCATTCTCAGGCAAGTGTTTTTCATATTAAACAGCCCGTGCATTCCACGCTGGTGCATATCTAACGAACCAGGCAAGTCTCTCCATGCTCCTGAATCTCCGAGGGTTTCTTTAGGTCCCATCCATAACTTGGGCTAGAGGGATAGAATAAAGAACAGTGACCAAGGCCTACTCTGTTGCTCTGGGGGAGGAAGGATCATGCTGGGGCGGTCATTCTCTGAGCAATAAGGCTTAACGGTGGAATGAGTGATCATCACAGAGAGGTCAAGGGATGGTGCCAGAGGAAGGCCAGAAAGGATGACAGGCAAGTGGTCCACAGATGTGCTTATGAAGGGACTGAAAGAGAGGAACAGGCTAAATTCCTGGGGAACAGCAAGCATGGAGCCAGGAATTTGAGCCTGTCTTCTCTTTCTAAGTGGTCAGAGAGACCGGTTTAGCAATCAATACTAAGTTTGGTTTTATTAATACTCAGTTCCTCAGTGTCAAATCACATTTACTTTCTCCATCAGTAATATTTCCCGCCGTCCTTTACCTTTTGAGCATTTTGAGAGGCAAGTTGGAAAAGGAGCAGAAGGTGACACCCCTGTCATTTTCCGAGTTCCCCTGGAAGTCACACATTTTCCCCTTCCGGCAGGAGACTGGTCTGCTCAGTGTGTAATTCCTTGTCTAACAAATAATGTGGCGATGTTGCTAACCATGATGCTCAGCAAAGCTGCCAAGTACTGGAGGAAATTTTTGACTGGTCTCTTTTATTTGTGCCTTGTGGTTTTATGCATATCATCTCCAAATGTGTGTGGGAAAAGAAAAAAAAATTGTATTCTCTGCTGCCAGGATGAATACTCTTAGAGAAACCTGTGCCTTCCGTGATAAAGGAAGATGAGCAGGAGGGCAAGAAGGGCTTGGGGGCAGAAAGGCAGTAACCATGTGCCCTTAGCTTCAGAAGAGCACAGTGGTCTGCCCATGGGTGTCCAACTTTCTGGCACTGTGACACTATTCCATTTCCAAAGTTCAAAGTTCACAGTTGAGAACTAAGCAACTGGCCTACAGGAAAAAAACAAAAAAATGAAACCTCACATGTTAAAGATGTTTGTGATTCTGCATTTGGCTACATGCAGCCCTAAGTCTACAAGATGGGCATGCCTGCTCTAGAAGTCACATTCCTTTGTAGAAAGAAGAATGCTAAGTAGCAATGCCCTCTTCTCCGGTCTCACATGTTCTGCTTTGTTTGTCTTCTAAGACCACAAGGGAGAATAGAGTTCTGGGTTGATAATTGGAGAGCTGGAACAGAGTAGAGGAGTTCTGGGTTGATAATTGAAGAGCTGGGTCTCAATGGATGGTTCCAGGCAAGTCATTAACCTCTCTGAGTCTTTGTTTTTGCCAGTAGCGGAGGTTGGTTAGTTTTGAAATCAGTTCCCATGGCTGTTTTGCTGTATTTATTACAAGTTCAGTGGCAGACACTCAGATTCACTCTCACAGCATCTCCATGTTCCTTCGGTTTGGACATAATACCAACCCTCCCTGCCTCTCTCCAACCCTTCACCAAACTGTTACAGGAAAGCCCTTCCTGTTCTGAATGTTCATTTGTTCTTCTCAGGGAGTCACAAGAAATAATACCACCGAATTGCAGACTCAATCTTGGAAAATAATGGATAAACTCAAGAAATGTTTTTTTCTGCTTTTCAGCGGACATACATGTGGTAGAGCACCCTTACATTTGTGTGCCGGGAATGAAAGCAGCCTGCGCAAAGGGGGCTGTGGTGGCTGTTCTGAGCCAGGGCATTGGTCTAAGAGAGTCTGGAAATGCTAATAGTACCTACTACATAGTACTATTTGACTGTTTAATTATATAATCCTCCTTAGATATGTCAAATAGTGACTGACTGCAGTGAGCATCCGGCACATGATGCCTCCGTTAGGGCTCAAAGCATATGGCCCAAGGCGTATAGAGCAGGCCAGAAGAGTTCACAGCAGCTCGGCTTGCTCACTCGAGGTCTATAGCATTGCCTGTTCTATTCTGTTGAGTCTTTTTGGCTGTGTGTGTGTGTGTGTGTGTGTGTGTGTGTGTGTGTGTGTGTGTGTCCCCGGAGATCTAACCCAAGGCTTTGAGCATGATAAACCAGTCCTATCCCACTGTGCTCCATTCCAAGTCAAATGCATTTTTAAAAAGCATTTGCTTTACCTAAAAGATGAAGGAGCCTTGAAGCTGATATTAGAAGTTGGAATGATTTGCTTTATACACATCAGCATGTGTGAGGACCCACCCACATCCCACTGGCAGGGCACACCAGGGAGAGCGGTGTAGGTCCACTGTGGGTGTGAAGGACAAGGGAGAAGCCTCTTCTCTCTTTCTTCTCTTCATCTATGCCCAGAACACCAACTGGAATTAATTTTCTCTAAAGAGAGACAAATGTGTCTGTAAATCACCCTCCTTGAGGCAGGAAAAAAAATATACTTCAAAAAGAAACAAGCTGCGTTTAATTCCCATGATTAACTTTCTTTCTAAGTGTTAGTCTCCCCGAGCCAGTAACAATTAGTGAGAAAGCTCTTGTTCTAGAGGCATCTCTGCACTGTAGAGCTCTTTGCAGCTTCCACAGAGTGGGCCTGAAGTCAAAGAAGACAGCTCTACCTGGAAGACAGGCAGGTGGCAGGGTGAAAAGGGATTGGCCATTGTTGGAGCATGGGGCTGTACGTCCCAGTACGGGCAACCACTCAAATCTGTCCGTGGTTTTAGAAATGAGGATGCTTCCCAAATGGCAAGGCATATGCTTAAAACTGGGCATCTCTTCCCCATAGCAGAAAAGGGTTGTGGTCGTAGACGAACTGGGGACCAAATACAGGCATGAACCTTGCATCTACTTACATGTTAGTTAATCAGTCCAACGGAGGTACTTTATCTTCATCTACATGAAAAAAAATCCTATTGGGAGCATGTTGTCATCATTATAATCCGATGGGCTGAGGGAGCAGCCCGGCACACGAGAGCCATGCTTGTATCATTTTTTTTCTCATGCAGTGTTAAGCGCTTGCTAAATGTATGATACAGGGTGGCTTCATGAGAGGCTGCTATTAGTCACAATAAATGGATCAGTGGTATTTCTCCTCGGCTACTTTCCATCTCTCTGCCCTCATCCCTCTCTCCTGCCCAGATCCCTGGAAACTCTCCCACCTCTCATCCTCTCTCTGCTCAGTCTCCCACGCTCACTCGGTCTTCTCTCCTGGGCAATCTCATGCTCAGGTTTATTTCTCCACTCTTCTTCCCTACCCAGCCACACAGTCTGGTTCTCCTTCTCCATTCTGACTTACCAGTTCACAGCTCAATAAAAAGATGAGATTAATTCCACCCAGTGTATTTTCCTCTTAACATAGCTGTGGTGGTATTGTGTTCCCCAAAATATTGTGCACCCTAATAAACTTACCTGGGGTCAGAGACAGAACAGCCACAATATTAAACATAGAGGATAGGCCGTGGTAGCACACGCCTTTAATCCTAGCATTCCAGAGGCAGAAATCCATCTGTTCAAGGATACAGCCAAGCATGGTGACTCACGCCTTTAATCCCAGAAAGTGAGCCTTTAATCCCAGGGAGTGGGGCAGAAAGCAGAAAGATATATAAAGCGTGAGGACCAGAAACTAGAAGTATTTGGCTGGTTAAGCATTCAGGCTTTTGAGCAGCAGTTCAGCTGAGATTCATTCTGGATGAGGACTCAGAGGCATC